GCTCAATCATTTATACCCATCACCGTTATCTTAAAAAAAAAAAAAAACAAACGGGAAGGAGGAAATTTTGATACAAAAGTATTGGATAAACTTTAATGATTTTTTCTTGTTTTTGTATAGTTGCTGTAGGCTCATCCATAGCATATACGAAGAAATTTTTATCTTCATATTTATTGCAGTTTACGAGTAATAAGCTAAAGAGTAAAAAAGAAAGAAGAGTTGCTCTCAGTTTATGTTCTACTGTCGACCAGTACTATGCCCATTGGTCGATTGGCCCCATTTTCAATAATAACTTGCGTAGAAGAACGTCCTTAGTTTTGCCAAAATTTTAAGACGATATCATCTTTTCTACGACCCGGACAATGTTTACCGTCGACATTTAAACAAATGGACAGACGGACAGATGCACAATTTTTAATTCATTTAGGTTATTATATTGATTGAGAATATTTACTCTTTAGAGATTCTCTGAAGCTTCCTTCTTCTTGTTGCAAACGTTTTGATAAAATGAATATGTTCGATGGTGAGTATAACAAGATAGATATATTATCGATTAACTTATTGATACACTTAACAATTTAATATTCCTCCCTTTCATAACTTAACAACTAAGATGTAACAATTTTGGTTGTTTTACTTATTATTTATTGATTTGTTTTTTTTTTTTTTCAATTGCCTTAGTTACCTGTTAATATTGTTATGCAACAATTATTTGTAATTATTGTATTGCGTGTTTTTGTTTTATTTATTTAGCATTATTTTTTCTTTCGGTTTTTTTTTTGTGTGAGATCTAATTACGTTTCATTTTCATTATTTTCTTTAATATTGGTTTTTGTGAATTTTTAAAACATTTTTTTTATATCTTGACGCGTTACACCACTGACAGTCAAGTTTGGTAAAAATGTATAAATCTTTTGAAAGCAGTTTTTTAAGAAATTTTGCATGTCTATGCGGATATTTTTCGCAAAATTAGAGCAAGGTTTTTTGAAGAACCTCTTTTCTGAGCTTATCCCCAATGTTTCTTATTGACGTTTCAAGTTAGTTGTTTTTTTTTTGCCTTTCACTTGCATGCGCATATAAAATCATTTCAATTCAAGAACGGGAAAGCAGAATAATTTTCACACGTCAAATAATTTTATCGCATGGGTCATTGATCAAATTAGCAAACATGATATGAAAATAATGCTCAGCAATGTTGGCTATTTCTTCTCATGCGGTGAAATTTTTTTATTGCATGGGTTCCTCTGTCAAATTGGACAAGCTGATGTAAAAATAAATTGCAGCAATATTGGCTACTTTTTTCGCATGCGATTAAATTCCCTTTAGCACATTTAGCAACGTGATACGAAAATAATTCTCAGCAATACTGGCTACCTCTTTCGCATGCGATTAAATTGTTGCACTTGATCTGATTGCCTATCCTGAGCCTTCGATTAGAAAAAAGAGATTGATATTTTAGTACGTGGGTTACACTAGGGACACTCCCAGTCCTTATTACTCTCAGCGAAAAGGTCGTGGCTAAATTAATATGGTTAAGACGGCGTAGCAATAAAATAGTTGTGGAAACAAATGCGTTATTGAAAACTTATGTTTACGAATTTCTTTTTATAGCCTACACCGCTTGTGGAGCAGACGTATACCAATTCAGTGCGGATGTATGCAACACCGAGAAGGTATTTTTAATTCAGACACGCCTTCTATTATACCGATCGTCTCAGAAAATGATTTTGAATCGATCCAAGCTTGTCTGTCCGCCTGCATGCCTTGTTTTCTTGTGTTCAACCTGCAGGTCGCAAAGTTTTAAGATATATTGATAACATTTGATACACCGACATGTTTTTGCCCAGGGATGAACACGACTGATAATGGTTCGAATCGAACCACTTCTTGGACTACTTCCCTTGTAACAATTTGAAAAGTCGTTATATAAGCGAAGGATGTAAGATATTTAATGTTGTGGCGTAATTTGGAACCAAGTTTAGAAGAGTTATCCAAGTAACAAGATTCATTACGTGATATACGCGATATTTGTTAAGAGTTATAATAGAAAAAAGGTAAACTTTATGTTTGCGATTAATTTCGAAGCACACGTCATTTCCTCAACTGTGTCGATTATGTCCGATGGGGTGATAGATGTGTAAAGGGCTTTTAATATTTCCTTGAAACGCTTATTTACAATGAGAAAATTTTTAAATAACCCTGAATGAAAGGTTGGGATTATTTTAAAAAGCAGTTCCTGAACGTTCCTTAAGATGATGTCCATTTCTTAAAAACAAAATTAGCAGTAGCAATTACCTCATAATATTTTTTCACTTACAAATAGTAATCATCGTCATGATAAAGTTTCGTCCAGCGTTTGTTTGGTTGCATATTAAATGACTGGATCTATTTCATTTAATTCATTTGTTTGATAGTTAATGGCGGATGTTTTGTTTGCCAATTAAACTTTTCTTCTTATTCAGGAGCATTATAATATCATGCGATCCTTTTTATTGCAAGTGTCGGCATCAGTTTGTGAATGATTTTAAAATTAATTTTTAGTTTTTTATATATCATAACAGTTTTATATTTTTTGTTCTCATTTCTCTTATAGATATTAAAAATTATATAACAAATACATGTTCATAAAAAAATATGTTCTATATGAATGTACTGTTGGTATGTCTGACCTTTAAATTCCATTTCTCAATACAAGTGTTACGCTTTCTTAAATGTCTAAAGGAATACTTAATCGTCAATCATCCTTAATATCCTACCATATATTTGTCTCTTACTACCTGCTTTTGCGTTCTTATTGTATGAGCAAAGAAATAAAAACATAAAAACATACGGAAAAAGATTGATAAACTATTAAAATAAATTTTGTTATATTTAATTCTAAATAATTTTATCTCTGTGTACTATATGTTTTACTTTATGTAGGAACAATTGCTGTTTAAAACATATGCGTATATAACTACATATATATACACATACATATATATATATATAATAAATATATATATATATATATATATATATACATACATATATATTTAAGATTTATACCAAATGTATGTATTTCAAATCTACTATTTTTCATACCCATCATCGGAGATGTTAAATCCGCTTTATCCGCTTTCGACGTCTTTTATCGGTCTGGTTGTGGTAAGTGTTATGTGATTTGCTTTTTTCATCGAATATCTTTTGCTCACGCTTCTTAATCCCTTTATAACACTTGAGCAAGGAAAAATTATATTCAGCTGTGGGTGATGAATCTTTGCGTCACTCATTTTTATTTAAAAAAAATTAAATTTCAATACTTTTAACTACGGAGTGGCTGTGACCGATTTTTACAAAGGTGTTTTCAATATCAATTTCCAATAATTTTGCAAACTTGAAGCCGAAATTTTTCTATTCTTAGGACAATGTTTACCAAATGTAGTGCACGGACGGAAGATGTGAATAGACGGACATGCGTAAATCAATTCAAGCAGATATTGAAGTGAAAGAATATGTACTCTATATGGTTTCGGCAGGTCCCTTCTATTGCAAACTTTTTTGCAAAGTGGCCATTACGCCACGCATCCTTCGGTGAAGCGCCAACAAAGTCAACAACGACAAGTCCAAAAATAAATATATCTCGATTCACTGCATGAGTTGCGAAGCTGTACTTTGAGAATTTCTACTTCTTAGATCCCACATTTTATAATGCTTCTCATGAAAACGAAACACGTAGTGAACACAATGTGAAAGAAATTTAATTTAAAGTATGTTATGGCGTTAATAGTTGAAAAATAATAGGATATTTTAAAAGAAAACTAAATTTCTTAAATTTGGGCCAAATCAGTTCACGTGTTGAGCCGACCTGCCCTATAAACAGGCATGGGCAATCACCAGCCCTGCAAATATTATGTGTCTGCCTTCACTACTGGCTCTGCTGCACAGTGAACAAATATGAAATGTGGTTTGAAAATTGATGCAGAACATCGTACTTTTAAAAATAGTTGAACTCCGTTCTGGCCTTCGTCGTGATATGAAAATTGAGATGATAGAAAAACTTGCCCACCTTTGCTATAAAGGTTCCCTAGAAAAGCTCCACAGAAACGATATGTAAGTTTTGTTATTTTATCCCAAAATGATGTATGGGATTTAATGATGGGTCTGTTTTTTCTTGAAAACCCAAAATTGTATATACGTTACGTATGAAGGGCAAGTTATTGTCGTCAAACTATCACACGAAGATTCGGATCGTTCTTTTTGGCCTGGCATTATTGATGCCCATCGAGGCAAGGTTTTAAGTAATTCCGAGTGGCACTTGACAGCTATATAGGTCGCATATAGCCTCGATTTCGACCAATTAACTATTTCGGCATATTTTCTGAAACTTGGAATTGCAAAAATTCCTTATATGCCTTAAAAGTGGGCGCATTGCTGCTGCGGCAAAAGAAATGACAGAAAGTCGAAATTTTAATTAATAAATTATTATTAACAAACAACAACAGCGACCATCATTTCTTTAAAATAAGAATAAATATTTGAAGTTCATCTCAGATGGTGGATACTCGCAATTCGCAATTCGCCTTAAGGCGAATATAAGGTTTGTTTAAAGTGAAATTTATATAAAGTAAGAGTAAAATTTTCAAAATATTCCCTCTATTATCGCTATTTAGTGTAGTATAAAATTTGTGATTTGCTTTTGTTCTTAATTTGCTATTTAATTTAATTAAATTATAGTTAATTTTTGTGTATTTTCATTTAACGTTCACGTTATACTTTTTACGGCAGTAATTTTATTTTATTTTACTTTTTCTTTTTTAATGCAGAAAAATTATCTTATATGAATATTAAACCTTTTTTCTTTTTTTATTTTTATTTTTGTTCATATATCTCTTAAAAATTAATTAACATTTTTTTCTCAGGTGTTTGTTGTTTTTTCTCTTTCTCTTTCTCTTTCTCTTACTCTTTTTCTTTTTCTTTTTCTTTCTATTTCTCTTTTATTTTTTTTTCTCTTTCATTTTCATTTTCATTTCTGCTACTATAATATATAGTAAATTCAGTTGGATTTATTTTTAAGTTTTCTTTTTAATAACTTTCTAATTTGGAAAAACCTATAACTTATAGATAATCTGCAGTATTTAGTGTTGTTGCTGTAGTGGTTGTAAAGTTAATTTTATTGCACTATTATATGGGGTGCCGACAGTAAAACTGTTACTGTAGCAATTATTGTAAATAGCGTAAAGATGATAAGACAAAATCTGCAAAACAAAAAATATAGATATATACATTTATATATATATATATATATATGTGTTGTATATGTGTTATGAATTTACCTATCCACAACCATGGCGGCGAATTTCCAATCGCTTATTAATTCCGCCTCGTCGTCGGCTTTGCGCATGCGCGCCGTTATAAATTGTAATTCTTTAAGAATTAAATGTAAATCCTTATGATTAAAACCGATCGTATTATGATGTTCTTCTACTGTTGTCGGACGACCAAAGCTCCTAAAATGAAGAAAAATTAAATGGCTTTAATAATTTCTTATGTTTTGATTTTTACTGCTAATTATGATTAAATAAATATGTATATATATATATATATGTATATGTGTATATATATTACGCCGAGGAGCCTATGGCCGTTTGTGATCCCGATATTGTATGTCGAAAATCGTCATCGATATCTAAAACATTGGCCAGTAAGGATTTGGAAGAGCGTTCTTTCAATTCCAATTCTTTCATTCGGTTGCTTAAAAGTATTGTTTTTCTAGTGATTTTACGCCCGGGACGGCCCATACGTAAAATCCATGGCAGCCATTGCAGAAAAACTGATTTTATCTGTTTTTTTTTTTTTTTTTGTTAGGGAAGAAGAAAAAATGGAGAATTAATTTTTTATAGCTTTCTTTCTTCCTGTTGTAAAAAACTTACCCATGGTGGCATTTCATGTATGTCCGCGGTACGATGGTGATAATTTAATACCACTACTGTTAGCACTACCGATGAGGCCACCATAAACATAATGCAATTGAAATAGGTACCTATTGTTTCCAGATTTTCATTTTTTTAGGGTGTTTTTGTTTGTTTGTTTGTTTTTTTTTTTTTTTTCAAATTATAAAGTAAAAAAATTTCAATATTAGTTACATTTCGTTTTCGTGCGATCACTGTTACAACACATATATGTTTGAATAAACATTTAAATAAAATTGAAAGTAAAGAGAAAATTATAATTATAAGTGAACTGAAAAGTCTTTTTTTTTATTTATTTATTTTTTTTAAAATAAATATTGTTTTCTTCATATTTAATTGGAGGGATAAATACATTTTAGAGAACATTTTCGTATTTTACAAAAATATACTTCTTGGAAACGTTTTACGAATACTACAACAGAGAAGGGGGAGAAGTGTTTCTTTATTTTTTTTTTTTTTTTATTATTTTACTTTAATGTGCATTTTTTTTTTTCAAATTTTTTTATTGCGTTTATGTATGTAGCGTAGTACGTGTTGGTGTTTTTAAAAGGAAGATTTTTAAATAAAAGGCTTACAAGAACACATGCCGTAAGTAGTTGAACGTGCTTATTAAAAGCGTGACATGCTTTCATGACAACGAGACATACATGCCCATACACACATATACACACACAAACATTTAAAAATTAATAAATAAAAAAAAAAAGAAAGGAATATTAATGAAGCTTTTAGGATTCAATTCAACGTTGAAAAGGATTTGTGTCTAATGACTTTTTTTTGCCATTATGTTGTGTTCTAATGAAATTTCATTCAATACTTAACAAAACTCTTTTGACCTTTGCCATCAAATCGTGTAATAAAATATTATAATTTCGATAACCGGAACAAAGACCCCATAAACTGAATGTGTTCTTTATAGTTGCATTTTATGTTCGTCCGTATGTCCAGCAGACTTAATATCCTCACGTCCTCTAATTTGGGATGGATATCACAAATTTTACATATCACATCACGCAAATTTACGGGACGAAGTAAGCAAAAAGCATTGTTTTTCAACGCGTTTGTAAAATTTTCATGGAATGATTTCGCAATATCTTCAAAATATGTTTCATTTTCGTAATAACCTTATCACTTATTGCTAGCAGTCTCTTGAAATTAGCTTTAGCTTAGCAACCATTATCTGTTTACGAGTGTCACAAATATGCTCGTCGGAGAAAGATATGGCCCCGACGAATATATGATAGTCAAAATGAAATGTTGGACAAATCGTTCCATAAAAATGGCATAGAAATATTAGAGGGCCGTTGGAATGAATGTATTACTCTTCAAAGTGATTACGTTAATAAATAAAGGCGAATGAAAAGCTTTTGTTTTATTATTAATGACTCTACGAACTTATTGACATGTGCAAGATAATTGATAGCCAGAAGCTAAGTTTAAGAATGGATGCAATTCTTACGCAATACAAGGCAAAGAATTGTAATTCGCCCACAAAAAAAATTATTCTTAAAGCAAAGCATTTTCATTGTTTCACGTGGCATTTCATTAATTATACCCGTTACCGGTATTTGTTAATTAAGTATCCCATAATGGCGGAACATATTTGGCGACATTAGCTTTGTCTGTCCATCTAAAGAAATCCTGATTTCGAAAGCTTGTGCAGGAAAAAACAAACTTGATCTCAAATTTCTTCGTATTAGATTTTGTCAGTGTCAATAGTGAGTATCCCCTATTCCTCAATGTCCCTATGGGTCAAAAGCTTTGTCAGCGCTGGTCTGTCTTTAATTTTTCCGCATTCAAATTTTCCATACACTGTTATGAAAATTGCTTGCAAACTGTCTTTTAATTTTTATAATAACACAATTTACGATGATGGAGGCTACATTAAATACTGTGTACGAAGTGTGCCGAGTGAACAGATTTTCACAGTACCCTACAATCCTATATCGTATAGGAATTGTTAATAACCATAAAATCTCGTGTATCTTCGTCTTTGTTTTCATTTACTTTTTTTTAGAAACTTCCCTTGGAATTGACATCAAAATGCTTCAAAAGCAAGCATTCTAGCAGTTATGGTCACTATGCATTCATTCCTTTAGGTAAGTGACTTTGGTCGCAACTTCAAAAAAAAAGGGCAAAAAGTTTCATTTATTGTTTTCAGTGGAGTAAATAAAATGCGAAAATTTTTCATTGCAACTGAACCTTTGAAAACATTTAACAAAATGTAATGTTAATAATTTAAAAAAAAAAAAGAAAAAAAAACGAAGAAAAATGTATAAAAACACGTTATTTACTTATTTACATTGCGGTAATTTTTAATAAATTTTCTAAAATCATGCTTAGTAAAAAGTACGTTTATGAAAACTGGTTTAAAAATGAGTGATTGAGTTAAATTTTTCATTTTTAATTAATAATTGTTTTTTTTTTAAATTTTATTTATTTTAAAGCAAAAAACTGTATTAATTTTCATTTATTTAATTTTCTAAATTTTAAGAAATATTTTTTTTTTAAGAAAATTTTCTGTTAGTCAGCTTTGATACTTGGAATTCGGCAAATAAACGCATACTCTTTGTTAAGACAAACATTTCTATTAACTCTACTCTATAAGGATAATGAAAATAAAGGAAGCTGTAGAGCGTCATGAAAATTGTTATCGCACTGATTATGCAAATTCTTGTTTCCATGAAAGCATTTAGCCTTTCTTTTCTTTGTTCATAGTTCAAAACAAAAACAACAATAAGAAATGAAATGAAATAAAGAAAGGAATGTTTCGATGTTTCGCTTACGTTCAAATGTTGTCAGAAATAAATTAATATTTAGCAAAGTCTTAAAATGATTATGCTTTTGCACAAAAAAAAAAAAAAGCGAAAGAAAAAAAATTGCAAGAATATAAAAGAGGTAACTGTTTTTATACGTTACATCAATTGATATTTAAATTTTTCTCAATTTATGTCACTAATGCTTTTATGGCATATCGAAGAGGACTTATTCCAAAAGTAGATAAAATATGCTTTCATACTTTGTAAAGATTCAACTAAGATTTAACTTTGGTAGGAATATTCGATTTTAACATTTGACTCCTCTTGTACTTTACTAACAAAGCACACCAAAGCCTCGGTTTAAATCATTAAAAAACAAAAAGAAATAAATGAAGGGAAAGAAAGAACGTAAAGCGAGTTAGATTAGGTTAGACGTTCGCAACCAACGATGTGGATTCACGTCTTTTCCAACTCTATTCTTGTTTGCCCTTGACAAGGATGTATGTCCTGCATTGTACGTTTCTGAACGTGGCCACATTAGGTGCGGGACGCACTAAAGTAGCTAAAGAGATATATCCCTTTACTGAGGTGTTTGTCTTTTTCTACACAGCGATCCACCAGGCATTGTTGTGAGGCGATATGCATCTTATATGAAAGCACTCATCCTTGCCGATATCCTTTGACGTATAATATCTATGTGAAAACTAACGCGAAATTGGTGAATAAAAAATAATAAATGATTTGCTCGTAGAAACTGATTGATTTGCAACTGATTAGGCAGCAGAACAACTAGGTTTACGTTTGGCATGAATCTCTATAAATTTTTTTATGCAAACTTTGTAACGGAACTTATCTTTCTTCAATTCTCAATGATACGTTACGTTCACTCAAAGCCATTAAACACCCTTTGCTTTAGGAATATGCAAAAGCCATATGAAGCCGTATTAGGTAAATATAAGAGTTTATTCAAAACTGTTTATGGAAGGACTTAGGGTTCTTTTTTCTAAGCAGATTAATGATCAAAAAACAAAATGAATTTTTCAAGGTCCCCAAGGACCTTCTACCTGCATCTATATCGAGTTTCATGTCAACATATTATATTTAACTGCAGAGTATGCGGCAGTTTTCGTAAACATACAAAAATCAGTTTTTTGATTTTTGCTACATCTGTTGCTGTCGAGCAAAGAATTCATATTAAACATTCTGTCACGGAATCCGTGAGCATGTTATAGAAGCCTTTTGTAAATGTTACAACACGAACAGCGTCACGGACGGATCCAACGAAGAAAACCATACCAAAGATGGAAAAAATTTGTTGTTGAAAATCGCGGGCTGACAACCGGAGACCTTGACGATGCTGTGGGCGTTTAAAAAATGGTTTGTTTCTCAAAAGCCTCGAAGCTTGATTAAACGCTCCATTTCTTCAAACAATATCGTCGCATTGGTATATGTGAAGCAATGATTTTTAACTAACGCGACGTCATTCGCCTGAGTTAGTAGCTTGCGATTTCAGTCTGTTTAAATAACTCAACAGTCTGCTCCAGGGAAACTTTGTCAATTCGATTGCAGGGACGAAATCCGAATCAAAAGAAGTATTTAAGGCCACGCTTGAAAAAGCTTTCTCTGGGGGTTTCGAAGATTGGAAAAAGTCTTGGCATAAGGCCATCGTGTCGAATGGGGAGTACCTTAAGGGTGAAGAAATTGAAAGAATTGGGCAAATAAACAAATTCTATGAACGAATTAACTTTATTTTTTGATCATAGTAGGTCTAGGAGCAAAGTGATCCGAATCGTCGCTACACAATGCGAGGCTTCGGTGTCCCTGATATCCAATTAGACGGTTGGATAAGACCCAACCTATTGATTCAATTTCAGCATGATTTCAAGTCGATCGATGCGAATAAATACTGAAACACAATACGTTACCAAGTTCTTAGGAAAATTTCCCGTGAATGTAAATTAAGTCTTGAAGACGAACCAAAGAGTAACAGCGAAAAAAATTAAAAAACCCATAAATATGGTAACTTAAAAACATGGCATTAAATAATAATTTTTACATACTATTTAAATATTAGTTTTAAGTATTGCGTATGATTTTTTTTTCTTTTTTTTTAGCAGGAAAAGGTTCATTAAAGTCTTCGATGTTGTGTTATCTCAGATCTGTCTCTTTTCGGTATGCTTTGAATAGTATTGACATGATCATGGGGCAAAGTAATTTCTAAATAGAGGCAGTTATCATCATTTAACAAACTAGAGTTATTATAAATTGCATGCTTTTCATTTACATCATTATCAGTTTAATATTTATACCTT